ACCACCGGTGCCGACGCCAACGCCGCTGTCGAGGTCGATGGTCGAGGAGTCAATGTCGACGGTGTCGGTGCCAACGACTGCTGGTATAACAAGTACCGCAGTCGATGTGCTCGAGTCTTCCGAGACTGGGCTGTCAAGGCCTGGCAATGCTGGCAAGAAGCAGCAATGTGGGCCTCACCGAGGCAGGCACAGAGAGTGCTTGTCAGAATCCGGTATCTTCCTCGAACACTGCGTACAGTATTTAAATCGAGTTGTGTACATCGCTAGAAGTTCCGAAGAGAGCCTTGCGGCGGAAAAACAGGAACTGCGTGCACGCGGGGCGCCTTTTATGCCCTGCCGGGGACTGGGTAGGGTTACCCCCAAAACTTGAAAAGTTTAAACTAGAGAAGTTTCCGTTGGTGTCCGCGCAGGCGCAGACACTTCACACGTGTGCATTCACAGAGACCACGAAGAAAAAACTGGTTTTAACTGTGTGAAAGTATTCCTGGTCACTGCCATAACCTGAGGGCCCTTCCATGCCACCATATAACCCAGAATATCAGCGCAGGAAATCCCACAATATCTGCTTTGTATGGCAATGTGGACTCAGATAATGCAGGGCCCTTCCACACAGCCCTATATCCCAGAGTATCAAGGCAGAAAATCCCACAATATCTGCTTTGTACTGTGTTATCTCAGCCTACACTCAGATAATGTGGGATGTTCTGCCTTGATATTCTGGGATATAGAGTTGTGTGGAAGGGCCCCCATGTTGAAAGCAGATATTGTGGGATTTCTTGCCTTGATACAACAACATCACAAAACTTTATTACAGTCACTGACCAGCATGAAGTCTTGATATGCTGGGATATAGGACTGTGTGGAAGGACCCTGAGCCTCCAGGCTCAGTGCCAAATCCAGTAATATTCCCAAGCTGCATTGAACACAGGTTGAATCCCTATTCCCAGAATCCCCATTCTTTATACCACAGGAACACTGTCTGCAGTGCAATTCACTTGCTGTTCCCTTCCCAGAAATCCATATGGTGTTCACAGGCATTTTTGAATCATTAGCTAGCTAACGAATGTGACTCAAAAATGCTTGAGCAACTCAAGGCTAAGATCTACACTGCAGTTGTCTGCCCAGTAGCCCTCCCTCTACAGGGCAGAGTGCTGGCCAGCAACAACAGCACACGAACAAGCCCTGAACACAATGGAAATGAAAATGCTGAGATGGACACTTGGCTTGAGAGTTCTTGACTGTGTCCCAAATGATGACATCCATCTGTCAAAGACTAGGAATCAAAGCAACCAGCAAGAAAATGCAGGAAGCAAGACTACGGTGGTCCAGCCGGGTCATGAGAAGAGAACTAATACCAGAAGCACAAACAGCACTGCATTTGGAGATTGCAGGATGACAATCATGTGGACCAAGCCCAAAGAAAAGATGGATGGACACCATCAATGGAGACCTGCATGGTGCCAACCTGAGATCCAAGGAAGCCCAAAACAAATCCCTGTGGAAACGACAGTCACAATGGTAACCCCTCTATTGAGGAAATTGCTTAGAAAGAAGAAGAAGATGCATCAATTTTATATAGTTCTCTCAATCATATCTGTCTACTTATCCTCTGTGTGTGTGTCCAGATATCTATGGACATCTAACTATGGCTGGATGGCCCTCTGTCAGAAGGGATCAGATGGTGTCTTCCTCTATGGCAGTGATATATCTAATCATATATAGTTCTCACAATCATATCGATCTTTATGGCTATCTATCATCTCTTTCTGATGATTATATTATATTATAATTATTATATATTTATTATTATTTTAGTGACACAAAAACAAAGTATGACACAGCAAATGAGATATATATGCTGGATTTTGTATCACAAAATCACAAGTCAAACACTTCCGAAGTGTTCAGGACTGTGTGATGTATTTATTATTATTATTATTATTATTATTATTATTATTATTATTATTATTATTATTATTTGAAACACAACAAGATCATCATCATCATCATCATCATATTTAATTACTTATTAATCGCCCTCCATCCGAGAATGCTCTAGGCCATTTACAGCTAAATTGTAAAAGATAAAATACATACATACAGAAATTAAAAATTAACAGAGATCGAATGCACTAGTAAAAAGCCAGGTCTTAAGTGCTAGAGTAAAAGGCCCTAAGTCATGCATGGCTCTCATATAGGGCGGCAAGGAATTCCATAAGGCAGGGGCAGAAATAGAAAAAGCCCTGCGTCTGGTACTATAGAGTATATAGAGTAAATCTGTTGACTGTTGTACTGGATCACACGTCAGACACTTCCCAAGTGTCTAGGGCTGTGTTATGTATTGGCGAATAACATGTGCAGATCAGAGTAGGGTGGTCTTTTGCAGCTGACAGATGGTAATTTTGTCAGCGGCAATTGTATTTAAGTGCAGGCCTAGGTCTTTAGGTACTGTACCCAGTGTGCCGATCACCACTGGGACCACCTTTACCGGCTTGTGCCAGAGTCGTTGCAGTTCGATCTTCAAATCCTCGTATCATGTAAGCTTTTCCAGTTGCTTCTTGTCCATTATGCTATCGCCTGGGACTGCAACATTGATGATCCATACTTTGTTTTTTAACACAATTGTGAGGTCAGGAATATTGTGCTCCAAAATTCTGTCAGTCTGAATTTGGAAGTCCCAGTGTAGTTTGACATATTCATTTTCTGTAACTTATTCAGGCTTGTTATCCCACCAGTTCTTTGTCGCAGGCAGATGATATCTGTGGCACAAGTTCCAATGAATCATCTGAGCAACTGTGTTGTGCCTCTGCTTGTAGTCTGTCTGTGCAATCTTCTTGCAGCAGCTGATATGATCTATCGTTTCGTCTGCTTCCTTGCAGAGTCTACATTGAGGATCTGTCATTGATTTTTCAATTTTGGCTTTGATGGCATTTGTTTTAATTGCCTATTCTTGGGCTGCAAGAATCAGGCCCTCCATCTCCTTTTTCAAAGTTCCATTTGTGAACCACAGCCATGTCTTTTACTTGTCCATTTGACTCTCAGTTTTTCCCACGAACTGTCCATGGAGAGCCTTCTTTTGCCAGTTTTCTCTTCTACTCTGCATTGTATTTTTACGGCATTCTCTCTGTCTTTTTTGCACTTTGAGTAGTTTTTTTGTATTAACTTCCATCAGTGTTGGTTCTTGTCTGCCTTTCTCATAATCTGTCAGTGCATGTTTCTCTTTTTCTACCGTTTGTTTCACTTACAGAAGCCCTCTTTCTGCCTCCAGATTTTCTGGGCAGGTCAAGTCTGTCGACATCACTACGCGGGTGTAATGAGTAGTGGATTGTTATCAGTTTTCTTGCTTTTCTGTCCAGTTCACAATTCCAGCAGTGTATCTAATGACGAGGATGGCCCAGGTGTTGACAGCCTTGATTGTATTTCCGCCATTTAATTTGCTCTTCAAAACCTTTCTGGCCCTTTGGACATATTCTTTGCTGACCACATTATTATTATTATTATTATTATTATTATTATTATTATTATGACAGTTTATTTATTTATTTATTTATTTATTTATTTATTAAACAAACAAACAAACAAACAAAACACAAAGTTTGCAGACTTGGTATTCTATTAAATGTCCTTTGACCAGTATCTGGCCACTTGGAGTGCTTCTGGTGTTGCTGCAAGAAGGTCCTCCATTGTGCATGTGGCAGGGCTCAGGTTGCATTGCAGCATGTGGTCTGTGGTTTGCTCTTCTCCACACTCGCATGTCATGGATTCCACTTTGTAGCCCCATTTCTTAAGTTTGGCTCTGCATCTCATGGTGCCAGAGCGCAGTCTGTTCAGCGCCTTCCAAGTCGCCCAGTTTTCTGTGTGCCCAGGAGGGAGTCTCTCATTTGGTATCAGCCACTGATTGAGGTTCTGGGTTTGAGCCTGCCACTTTTTGACTCCCACTTGCTGAGGTGTGTGATCTATCAGGACTACCAACCTGAGGATTCCCAAAACAAAGCCCTGTGGAGACGACAGTCACTATGCTCACCCCTCCATTAGGAAAATAGCTTAGAAAGATGAAGAAACTAGCCAGCTAAATACAGTCTTCAGGCTACCTCTGTGCAGAAACCCTCACTGATTAACTCTGCTGCTGCATGACTACTCAATGCTATTCAAGCTTGCTAATTGCAACATTCACACTTGCTTCAAACAGACAAGGGTTCTTTCTCCCACCTTGGACATTATTCCACAGGTGTGTGTGTATGCACACACACAACTCCACTTGCCTCACTACCAACAGAACCTCTGATGCAGGGGAAATGTTAGGAGAGAATGCTGCTAGAACATGGCCATACAGTCCGAAAAACCGACAGCAACCCATAGTCTTCATTGTTTGACAAGAAGAAAGCAGGCTTACCCAGGTGGACATGGGCAGAGTAGTCCCCTGCATGGTCCATCAATGGAGCTTAAAATGTTTCCCCCAACCCACAATCAGGCTGAGTTCTTCTTCCTACAGCTCTAAAGAAGGTTGATGTTAGAATCGTGTATTATTTTTCTTGACCCCTTTGGGTTTTTCACATCTTACAATAGACCACTTCACAGATGAAAACCAGGACATGTGGTGGTTGTCTTAGGCCCTTTCTACACCACCAGATAAAATCCAGATTATCTGCTTTGAGCTGGATTATCTGGCAGTGCAGGCCTCTTCCACACAGCTGCATAAAATCCTCATTGAACTGAAGTACATGGCAGTGTAGACTCAAATAATCCAGTTCAAAGCAAATATTGTGGTTTATCTGCCTTGATATTCTGGGTGTAGAAGAGACCTTAGTTTGATCAATCGCAATAAGGGGGGGGGGGGGGGGGGAGTGGGAGGAGGAGAAAGAAATGGGGAGGGAGGTGCTTTATTTTTAAAAGGCTGTAAAAGTGGGATGATGGGAGAAATGTTCCTACAAATGATGGGCTACTTGCAAAGGACTTTTAGGAAGCTCCTCTCCCACCCGACACAAGGCTCAGTCACATACCTCATACTGAGTGATGATACCATTGGGCTCCGCTGGTTCCTCCCATTTCAAGAAAATCATATCTTCCAGCAAAGTGAAGATGAGGGATTCTGTAGCAATGCCTCCAGGGACTTTAAGGGGAAAAGATGGGAGAGAAAGTGAGCCTTTTAAAAAGTGTGTTACTTTGCTTCTAGGCACAGTTGAAAGAGCATCTATGTGAGGGCAGTGGGGAAACATGTGCCCCCAAAATGGCTGTAAAGAGGACACCAATTTATAATGACGACACCAGAAGCAGTAGGGTCGTCACTGGTTTATCAGGGTCTCCTACTAGTTGTAATGGATTTACAAAATTGATAACACAGCTAATAGCTTGTAATACTTTGTTGGTCTTTCTTCAATGTGTAGCGCGGCTTGCCTTGAAAGTATCTGAAACAGAGACTTGACTTTGAGAGAAACTGTAACAAGTTTATTGAAGTATAGAAGAAGCTTAATGGTTTCAATGTTTCTTAACTCCTAGAGGCACATTTCTTTGGTGGTTACATTTAAACTTATTAAACTTATTAAACTTATTTTAAACTTATTTTTCTTCAAACTGTGTTTCTTTCCTGATGTTATTTCTGTTGTCGTAAAGATGCTTACTGGGAATGTTTGCCGTGTATATGTTGTGCTCCGCCCTGAGTCCCCTTTGGGGTGGGAAGGGCGGAATATAAAGGTTTAAAATAAATAAATAAATACTACTGGACACCTACTTCAGCCCATTGGACGCCGCAAATCATTTTATGTTTTTAATGCCATTTTTGTTTAACTTGTAACAGTTTTTTAGGTAGAAATCATGTATGTTGGTTTATATTATGTTTACTTAAGTTCAATTATGTATTATGTTTGGTTAGTTTTATAAGTTTATTTTGAGATTGTTTTATCCACTGTTTTGGTTTGATTTGTCATTGTTTGTTTTGGCATTGAATGTTTGCCATTTTGTTACTTTTGTTGGAAACCACCTTGAGTCTCTTTGGGGAGATAGATAGGGCAGGTTACAAATAAGATGTCCCCAGGGCCATCTTACCAGAGAGAGGTAATCCTAAATGATTGTTGGGTAGTAGGATGGAAAAGCAGAATTCAGGGGCATCAGAATACAATATTCAAACAAACTGGCTGGATTACATGCTAAATGGGATCTCTCTACACCAGTGTTTCTCACCCTGTGGGTCCCCAGGTGTTTTGGCTTACGACTCTCAGAAATCCCAGCTAATTTACCAACTGTTAGGATTTCTGGGAGTTGAAGGCCAAAACATCTGGGGACCCACAGGTTGAGAACCACTGCTCTACACTGCAATGCTATAATACAGTTCCTAGTACTTTCATCGAGCCAGTTCAGTTGATGAAGAAAGCTTTTTCCCTATGAACTCCAACAGTGGTGGCACAGTGTGGATCTAGTTCAGTTGCTTCATTGAGCTTCCAAGTCATTTCTATGTCCAAGATCACCAGGGGATCTATAACTGGTGATTTTTATGTATTTTAAATTGTATACTAATGTCAAGCCGCTTTGAGTCCCCTTTGGGGAGATAAAGTGCAGCATGCATAAATAAATGAATGAATGAATGAATGAATGAATGAATGAATGAATCTCTCAAGAACAATTGCCACTTGTATTCAGGCATGCAAATCTCCTCCTTCAAATGCTACAGAACAGATGAAGTCAACTTGCAGTGAATCAATGGAAACCGTTTGTTGCAATATATGAAACAAGCAAAAGAACCACAAAAGAGAGAGAGAAAGATGCCTCAGAGATACAGAGACCCGACTTCATTGATGGAGTCATAATCCAACGGAATAGTGGCACCTGAGGACCGAAGAAATGACAAAAACTGTTCTTTAGCATCCATAATTTGGCATGTAGCTATAAATGGGTGTAGACAAAACGTTTAACAGATGTTTTCCTTATTTCATTTCCAAGATATTTCTTCTTTATGATTCTTTTTTAGCACGAAGAAGAGTTTACAAGCCAACAAAGATTTAATTTCTAATGAGCCTTCCCTCCAGGATATCAGCTAGATATAATAAAGAAGTCCTGGGCAGATTCATAGAGCCACATTAATTCCACTGGAAAAGCAGATAAATGGAAACAGGACAATTTACAGTTTCACCTTGCTCAGACTAAGATGGATCCATCCCTGTGGAGCTTAGGCAGCACATTATATTAGGCATTGGATGCAACATAAAGCCTTGTTAATCATAAAAACAGCCGGAGTATTTAAAATACAAGCCAAAGGAACAGCAGGAGCCAGTCTTTGAGAGAACAAAAAGAAACCAGCTGATGCAATTACAGCGTGGTTACAAACAGCAGGAGAAATTACAGGTTGAGAGAAATTGGTTAGGAATGCAGAGCTGACACAATGCAATGTGCAGATTCAACCTTTCATTCTGAGTTGCCTCTCCCATAAAGCAGAATGAGGCAGCCACCGCTAGCAGCAGATGACAAAGGGGAAGGTGTTTGGCGAATCACATTGGTCAGCTTCCTCATAAAATCTAAGCTAGCCTGTTATCCTCAGACACCGTGGAGGACACTGTTTCCACACCAATATTGGAGAAAGTGTCAAAGACCAGTTCAGTTTAGGAAACTTGTATAAGGGATTGGTTTCATAGAATCATAGAATCAAAGAGTTGGAAGAGACCTCATGGGCCATCCAGTCCAACCCCCTGCCAAGAAGCAGGAATATTGCATTCAAAGCACCCCTGACAGATGGCCATCCAGCCTCTGTTTAAAAGCTTCCAAAGAAGGAGCCTCCACCACACTCCGGGGCAGAGAGTTCCACTGCTGAACGGCTCTCACAGTCAGGAAGTTCTTCCTCATGTTCAAATGGAATCTCCTCTCTTGTAGTTTGAAGCCATTGTTTCGCGTCCTAGTCTCCAAGGAAGCAGAAAACAAGCTTGCTCCCTCCCTCCCTGTGGCTTCCTCTCACATATTTATACATGGCTATCATATCTCCTCTCAGCCTTCTCTTCTTCAGGCTAAACATGCCCAGCTCCTTAAGCCGCTCCTCATAGGGCTTGTTCTCCAGACCCTTGATCATTTTAGTCGCCCTCCTCTGGACACATTCCAGCTTGTCAATATCTCTCTTCAATTGTGGTGCCCAGAATTGGACACAATATTCCAGGTGTGGTCTAACCAAAGCAGAATAGAGGGGTAGCATTACTTCCCCAGATCTAGACACTATGCTCCTATTGATGCAGGCCAAAACCCCATTGGCTTTTTTTGTCGCCACATCACAAGATCTAGACACTAGGCTCCTATTGATGCAGGCCAAAACCCCATTGGCTTTTTTTGCCGCCACATCACATTGTTGGCTCATGTTTAACTTGTTGTCCACGAGGACTCCAAGATCTTTTTCACACGTACTGATGAAGGGCTAGAAGGGCTTTCGCACAACATATAGGTAGAAGAACATTTAAAGACTGGTTTATAATGGCGTTGAGTGATACACGGTCAAAAAGAAGATCAAGATTATGATCAATGTGGTACAATTTGCCACTTTTGAATACTTTTGGTAAAATTTACATATATATATATAAATATATATTGCTAGATAGGACAATTTATTGTAAGGCACTATTTTGGTGTGGGGTCATTTCTTTCAAATGGGAGACATGGGTTTTGCTGTTATTGGGAAGTGTAAAGTTACTACTGTTTATTGGTGGCTTTGTATACAAATAATCATGTTGAAATGATTACACTTTGAAAATAATCATAATCATAAGTGTGTCACCAACATGAAAAGTTTGGAAAGCTCTGCTCTACAAGGACATGGCCATTCTCACCCGATCTTCACCCGATTTAAGCAGGTCAACACTGTTGGGCAGGGTCTGACCTTTTCTTACCTCTTCTATATTCTGAACAATGAAATTGTCTACAAAGCAAGTGAGGAATTTGTTAAAACTGATATTCTTTGCCTTTCAACAAATATCAAGATAGTTACCTCAATTCCAATTATGAGACTCCCAGTAATGCCAATTATATTGTATTTCCCTTGTTGTGTTAAGTGTTCCAGTTCTTCTTGTTCATTCCCCATGCTCTGTATATTTGTGTAAAGATACCAAGGCCAATAGGTCACCTCCCTTGTCTGCTCGTTTAAGCCTTTTTCTCCTCTTTGTGGCGTTCCTGTACCATTCTATGACAGTTAGCATAGTCTCCCCTGAAAAACCCCTGCCTTAAAGAATAATACTAATAATAATAATTTTAAAATATATTTATATTCCGCCCTATCTCCCCAAAAGGACTCAGGAATTCAGACAGTCCCTGGATTATGAACAAGATAGGTTCTATGCAGGCATGTAGCTTCAGCCCCCCCCCCCCCGAAATTCTCATGGTGTTTTGCGAAAAGGCCTTACTGGTGCATTATTTAAACTGTTATGTTTATTCATATCATGATCTGATCACCATACTCAATATATCCCATATGCATGGGGGTATTGGGGTAACGATACAAAAGGTTTGCTAGGGTAGATCCTCTTTCACTCAGACTCAGCCCCCCCCCCCCCCCCGAATCGAAATCCTGGCTACGGGCCTGGTTCTATGGGTTTGTGTTTAGATGGAATTTACATGACGAGAACATACAAATTCCAAGGGGCGGTCAATATGCTCATTCTCCTCTCGTCATCCATCGATGCCCAGCCAGGCAAAAGCTTTCAATGCTGCTTCTCCAAATCAATGTATGTTTAGCAAACAGGCTCTTGATGCCAGGAATCTATTAAAGGGCACATGAAAGAGGAAAGGACAAATTGACCTGGAAACTAGGACTCAATGGAGCCATGGGTTCAAATGACAGGAAAGGAGATTCCATTGAACATTAGGAAGAACTTCTTAGAGCTGTTCAGCAATGGAACACTCTCTCTGCCTCAGAGTCTAGTGGAGGCTCCTTCCTTGGAAGATTTTCAACAGAGGCTGAGTGGCCATCTGCCAGGAGTGCTTTGATTGTGGAGGCGGGAGGCTGTCTATGTAAGTGGGCTACATGTTCATGGTGCCCGCTGTAACCTGAGATGTTTTTGGAGAGAGTGGAGTGCTGAAAAGCCACCAAAAGCACTCCCCTACAAGAACATTTCAGGTTACAGCAGGCGCCATGAACATGTAGCCCAATCCCTGTCACCATGATTGTTAGGATTTGTAGTTCACCTACATCCAGAGAAAATTGTGAACCCAACCAACAATGGCTGTGCACCAAACTTTCCACATATTATTTTAAGTACCTTCACTCACTTCCAGAAACCTCTGCAACCCCCACGAATGATGTTCTGGTGACTATATGACCATCTGTTCTGGTGCGGTTTGGGGGAGGATGGACTACAGACGACCCAATTTGCCTCCCACAGACCATTGCGACCTCCTTGAATGATGGACCCAGACCAAATATGGCACACAGACTCTCCATGACCACCAGAACATACTAGAGACGTTTGGAGGGAAATTGACCTTGACCGGAGTTATAATTCACCTGCATCTAGAGAAACTGTGACCCAGACCAACAATGGACCGGGACCAAACTTGGCACAGAGAAGCCCCATGACCAACTGAACATACTGCAAGGTTTTGTGGGAATGGACCTTGATTTTGGGAGTTGTAGTTCACCTGCATCCAGAGAAACCGTTACCCCAACCACAATGGACCAGGACCAAACTTGGTACAGAGAAGCCCCATGACCAACTGTACATACTGCAGGGGTTTGGGGGAACGGATCTTGATTTTGGGAGTTGTAGTTCACCCTTATCTAGAAAGCACTGCACCCAGCCGACGTTGGATCTGGACCAAACTTGGTACACAGACCCAACATGGTCAAGTTTGAATACTGGTGGGGTTTGAGGTAAATGGGCCCACAATTTTGGCCAGAGTAAGCACTGCCTGCAGAAGCCAGAGATGAAAGGGGAAGCCTTTACCTTTGTTCTGTGTATTTGTGTGTCCTTGTTTCACTGTGCTAAAGGCACTGAATGTTTGTGTGTGTTGTAATCCGCTCTGGGTCCCCTCAAGGAAATAGAGCGGAATATAAATAAAGTGTTGTGGTTATTATTATTATTATTATTATTATTATTATTATTATTATTATCTTCACATGTATGAATTCAACTTGTCTTCCATTAGAGAGCAAAACGGTTGCCACCTCATCCAGCAGCCCAGCCCAATGCTTTTGAAAAACTCACAGTCTTCACTGGTCTGGAATGTCATCTCTTTGCTTTCCTTCCGCCCCTCGGGGTTCAAGAGGATGAGCTTGACATGGACATTTTTGTAAGGCAGGAGATCCTTGATGGTGTAGTGGTGGGCACCGCGCTCCACCTTCACACATTCCCGCAGCGTCTGGTTGTGGCTGGCGCTTGATGCATAGTGATAGCAGAGGGTGACTGTGAACGTGTGGCAGCGGGTCAAGTTGTAGCCCAGAGGCTCCCACTGAAGTGTCAGCTGCCTGGACTGGATCTCAGCAAAGGCAAGTCCTTGTGGGGCCCTCATGGGTTCTGCCACAGAACAGAAAGACAACAGAATGAGAAATGGCAGAAGATATACCATTCACTCTGGAAGCAAAATGCTAATGAATGAGAGCATGGTACAGAGAACAACTGCCATCACTCACATTTCTAGCTCAAAGGTTCTGCCAACAAGCAGCAGAATAGGCATTGCCTCTCTCTATGCAGTTAAATCTATATAAATAAAAATGTAATGTTCGTTTGTGGGATTAACAGAACTCAAAAACCACTGGACAAATTGACACCAAATTCGGACACAAGACACCTAACAACCCAATGTATGTCCTTCACTCAAAAAATTGATTTTGTCATTTGGGAGTTGTAGTTGCTGGGATTTATAGTTCACCTACAATCAAAGAGCATTCTGAACCCTACCAATTATGGAATTGAACCAAACTTGGCACACAGAACTCCCATGACCAACAGAAAATACTGGAAGGGTTTGGTGGGCAGTGTCCTTTGGTTTTGGAGTTGTAGTTCACCTACATCCAGAGATCACTGTACACTCAAACAATGATGGATCTGGACCAAACTCTACACAAATACACAATATGCCCAAATGTGAACTCAGATGGAGTTTGGGGAAAATACAATCTTGACATTTGGGATTTGTAGTTGCTGAGATTTATAGTTCACCTACAATCACAGAGCATTCTGAACCCCACCAACGGTGGAATTGGGCCAAACCTCCCACACAGAACCCCCATGTGGGCCACAGCAACGCGTGGCAGGGGACGGCTAGTAATCTATATAAATAAAAATGTAATGTTCGTTTGTGCTATTCACAGAACTCAGAAACCACTGGGGCAATTGACACCAAATTTGGACACTGTGTTCCTAACAACCCAGTGTATGTTCTCCACTCAAAAAAACAATGAAAACAAAAAAGCAGAAAGGACTTCTAAACTGCATGTTCACAAAGGAGAAACTGCATGTCTACCGAGACCCATGGCCACGCCCCCTCCTCCTCCTCGCGGGGAAACAGCCGGCTGTTAAAGCCAGGCGCACGTGCCCGGCCACACACACACACACACACAAGCGAGTGGAGTGGAGGTGGAGGCTTGCCCGCATGCAGCCCCTTCTCTTCCCCTCCTATGTCAGGAGAGCAGTCTCCTCCTCCTTTGCCTGTTGGAAAGTGCCAGCAGCAGCAACAGAGTGCTCCACGCAAGGAAGAAGGGGGGGAGGAGGAGGAGGGGGGAGGGGGAGGAGGCGAGGAAGGTCCACGGTGCTTGAATGAAGGACCTTCCTTCTCTCCCTCCCTTCACTTCTTTCCTCCCTTTCCTTTCTTTCCTTTTCTTCTTTCCTTCTCCTTCCTTTCCATCTATCCCTCCTTCCCTTCCTTCCCTCCTTCCTTTTTCCTTTCCTTCTTTTCCTTCCTCCCTCCCTTTCCTCCTTCTTTCCCTTTCTTCATTTCCTTCCCTCCCTCCTTTCTTCATCCCCTCCTTTCTTTCCCTCCTTCCTTCCTCCTTCCTTCCTTCTCCTTCCTTCCTCCCTCCCTTCCTGTCCCTCCTTCTTTCTTTTCCTTCCTTCCCTTCTTTCCCTCCCTCCCTTCCTTTTTCCTTCCTTCCTTCCTGTCCCTCCTTCCTTCCTTCTTCCTTTCCTTCTTTCTATGTAAGATATAAATACAATATTAAATGGAAGGGACAGTCAAGAAGTAACAAGAGAAGGAGGGAAAGAGGGAAGGAAGGAAGGAGAGAAGGAGGGAGGGAAAAAAGGAAAGAAAGAAAGATAGAGAAGCAAGGAAGGAGAGAAGGAAATAAAAAAAGTGAAAGGAAAAAGAGAGGGAAGGAAGGAGAGAAGGAACGAAAGATAGGGAAGGAAGGAAGGATGTAACCAAAGAGCAAAGAAAGGGAGGAAAGAAACAGGTAGAGATGGAAGAAAGATGAGAGATAGGGAAAGAAAAAGAGGAAAGGAAGGAAAGAGGGAAGGGAGGAGAGAAAGAGGGAGGGAAGGTTGGCCACAGCAACACGTGGCGGGTACAGCTAGTATATATACAAATAAAAATGTAATGTTCGTTTGTGGGATTAACAGAACTCAAAACCACTGGACAAATTGACACCAAATTTGGACACAAGACACCTAACAACCCAATGTATGTCCTTCACTAAAAAAATGATTTTGTCATTTGGGAGTTGTAGTTGCTGGGATTTATAGTTCACCTACAATCACAGAGCATTCTGAACCCACCGACGATAGAATTGGGCCAAACCTCCCACACAGAACCCCCATGTGAGCCACAGCAACGCGTGGCAGGGGGCGGCTAGTGTTAAATATTTGGAACATTTCATGAACATCGAAACAGCACTAGCTGAAAACCAGGCGTAGCAGGAGATTCTGTGCAAATCTCTGGCAGAAGACCTGGACCAATCAAGTTACTCTCTTGGTTCCTTTTTTCTCTTTTAAAAATGTCTTGATTCTCTATTGGCATATTCATTAAAAACAGTGAAACAAGTCTGTATACATGTGTATATGCCTGAACTAATACAATACTTCCTAACACTAGACCAGGCATGGGCCAACTTCAGCCCTCCAGGTGTTTTATTTATTATTTATTTATTTGCTGTATTTGTATACTGCCTTTCGCCGACTCAAGGTGATTTACAGGCAGCAAGTCAATACACATAATATCAAAATGCACATAAAACATTAAATACAATATGAAACCACAACAGAAACAATAAGAAACAGCCAGGAGACAGGTGTTTTTAAAGTCTCTTCCTCAGTCCCCTTTCTTTTCTTAGCTGGCTGGGAGGAGAGGGTGAAGCAGCAGGATTTCCTCCTTCTCCTCCTGAGGTGGCAGGCATATGTAGTAAGCAACAGCCAGGAGACAGGTGTTTTTAAAGTCTCTTCCTCAGTCCCCTTCCTCCTCTTAGCTGGCTTGGGAGGGGGAGAGAAGCAGCAGGATTTCCTCCTTCTCCTCCTGAGGTGGCAGGCAGATGTAGTAAGCAACAGCCAGGAGACAGGTGTTTTTAAAGTCTCTTCCTCAGTCCCCTTTCTTTTCTTAGCTGGCTTGGGGGGGGGGGAGCAGCAGGATTTCCTCCTTCTCCTCCTGAGGTGGCAGGCAGATGTAGTAAGCAACAGCCAGGAGACAGGTGTTTTTAAAGTCTCTTCCTCAGTCCCCTTCCTCCTCTTAGCTGGCTTGGGAGGGGGAGAGTAGCAGCAGGATTTCCTCCTTCTCCTTCTGAGGTGGCAGGCAGATGTAGTAAGCAACAGCCAGGAGACAGGTGTTTTTTAAGTCTCTTCCTCAGTCCCCTTCCTCCTCTTAGCTGGCTTGGGAGGGGGGAAGCAGCAGGATTTCCTCCTCCTCCTTCTGAGGTGGCAGGCAGATGTAGTAAGCAACAGCCAGGAGACAGGTGGACTTCAATCCCCACCAGTCCTAACAGCCTTAGGCTGAGGGGAGAAAGGAAAGGGCCTGAGGCTGTTAGGAATGGTGGAAGTTGAAGTCCAAAACACCCAGAGGACTGAAGTTCACCCATGCCTGATTATACAATATTCATGCTTGGTTATGCTCTCCCCTCCTCCCATTTAGTGACTTCCCGCCCCCAAATAGATTGGAGACATTCACATATAACTCTGTTCTTCCTTCATTGTTCTTTCATTTCATTGTTCTGTTCTTTCTTCATTGTTTTTTCCCCTTCTTCCTTCTGGCCTGATATTTATTATTTATAAATTCCCTACATAGAATGTAACAGGTTAAATTATGAAGCCGTCTATACAAACTTTGCTTTCTTTCTTTCTTTTTTACATAGTTTAGAAATGGTTCCCAGTCCTTAATAAAGAATGTCACATTGAGGAGAAAGGGGGAATCTTGTTGTCTAGTACTCTGGACACGGAGCAATAGATTAAATTACAGGAAAGGAAATTCCTCCTGAACATTCAGAAGAACTTCCTGATGGTAAGAGCTGCTCAGCAGTGGATTATGCTGCCTGGGAGTGTGGCGGAGTCTCCTTCTCTGAAGGTTTTTAAGCAGGGAGTGGGTGGCCATCTGTTGGGGGTGCTTTGATTGTGTGTCCTTGCACAGCAGGGGGTTGGGCTGGATGGCCCTTCCCATCTCTTCCAGCTCCATGACTCCATGATTCCTCTTTGTACAGTTTGGAAACATTACTTGTCTGGGTTTCTTTTTTTCATGTCAGGAGCGACTTGAGAAACTGCAAGTCACTTCTGATGTGAGAGAATTAGCTGCCTGCAAGGATGTTGCCTGGGGGATGCCTGGATGTTTGACCATCCTTGTGAGAGGCTTCTCTCATGTCCCCGCATGGGAAGCTGGAGCTCACCGAGGGAGCTCGACCCACTACCCCCGGATTGGAATTGGTCCTGCCAACACCAGGGTTTAACGCATTGCACCACTTGGGGTTCCTACTTGTTTTGAGTACAATTCCCAGAACCCCTCCGCTGTACACATGGTAAGGGCCTCCAATCGATGAAGAAATCTGAAAATACTCAGCCCAGAAAGTAATGTTTACTTCTTAACCTGAGGCATACCGGAGCCTGCAATGGGAGTTCAACCTTTTCCAGCTGCAAGTTGGTTCTGACAGGGAAAAGGTGCAACGGGATACTTCCAGACTCTGTAAATATGTGTAAACAACTTTAGCCACCCTTATCATTCACAAGAAAAGAAAGAAGCTCTCAACACCTGGCTCGAGAGCAGTACGTGTGAAAAAGATCTTGGAGTCCTCGTGGGCAGCAAGTTAAACATGAGCCAACAATGTCATGTGGCGGCAAAAAAAGCCAATGGGATTTTGGCCTGCATCAAAAGGAGCATAGTGTCTGGATCTAGGGAAGTCATGCTACCCCTCTATTCGGCCTTGGTTAGACCACACCTGGAATATTGTGTCCAATTCTGAGCACCACAATTGAAGAGAGATATTGACAAACCGGAATATGTCCAGAGGAGGGTGACTAAAATGATCAAGGGTCTGGAGAACAAGCCCTATGAAGAGCGGCTTGTTTAGCCTGAAGAAGAGAAGGCTGAGATGAGACATGATAGCCAT